CTGAGTAGGGTATTAAGCTCAATAAATTCGCTCTTGATTAACCCCAAGGGGTTCGCAGATCAAAATGAGGGTACCAATCCTGCGGCCGAAGGTGGTCCCAGCACGGCACTGACTGAGCGGCTCGGTAGGCTGAGGGGAGCTGGGGGTATATGTCCCTCGCTTGAGAGCAACGAGCTGGCAGTTGTGATTCCAGGAGGTGACAAAACAGGCATTGCGGTTGTGTGATAGCCGATGCCATCGTGAAAGCTGCCGTGGCTGAACTAGCGGGTAACAGGTAGAAACCAGCAAGCGCTTTTGACTGTATATGCTCGGCAATGAAGGAGAAGTGTAGTGAGTGCCCCTCAAAATCCCATCCAGCATGTGATTGGCTGGAGTAGCTGCCACTGCTGGGAAGGAGTCAAATGCCGCACGCATAGCACATCGCAGATCCGATGGTATCATGAACGCTCTCATACCCCTGGCCCAAAGGGGGTTCCCTGGAGACATGCTCCTGGTAACTGTACTATGTGAAGGATGCATGAATCAGGCCACCCTTCAGACAGGTTCTGCAGGAAAATCTACTGCCATCAGCCCAGTGGCCATTTCCCAACTTTGATGATTGTGTTTTTCAGCAAAGTCAGTTAAGTCATCACCGGGATGACAGATCAGAATAAGCAGATCATGACCTGGCCTGCTCAGTCACCAGACCTCAACCCAATTGAAAACTTGTGGACAGAATTACAAGACCACCAGCCATTGAACAAAGCAGAGCAGTTTGAATTTTTACGTCAGAAGTGGGCAGCAGTGATACAGAGCAAATGTCAGAGGCCAGTGGAGAGCATGCTGATAGACCGGGAGCCCAGGGGTGTCAGCCTAGCTGAAAAGTTAACCAGTTGCTATGTACATGACGATATGCCAATAATACCATTATTATTTAAAGGATCTGGATGTCTGCTGGGTCAGCCGTGGTGGAGGTGACAGAAAAGGGCAGTTTAGTGACCAAAAATTCTCGGCTAGCTTAACCCATAAGCTAACTGCCTATAACCTCAGTGTGCCCCCGAAAGCTTGTGAAAAAACCCACAAGCGTACTCGAACCCACGACCTCCTGCATACTAGTGCAGACGTCTTAACTACTCAACCACCGAGCTTGCCAGTGTTGGCTGGCTGGTTTGAATCGAATGTAGCAGTGGGTACCGCAAACAATTATTTCAAAGATGGATTTGCGCTGGGGAGATGTAAATTAATTTTGGATTTGCCCTGCTCGAAGTAAATTTACTCAGTGTGGCCCCAGAAAGCTTTTGAAGAAAAAACAACCCACAAGCGTACTTGGTCGGGACTCGAACCCACGACACCGACAAGCTCGGTGGTCTAGTGGTTAAGACGTCTGCAATAGGTAAGCAGGAGCAGGTGTCGGTCTTGGTCTCGGTCTCGTATGCCTTCGTCTCGGTCTCGGTCTTGGTCTTGGACATCAAGGTCTCGGATACAACACTGGAAACCATTATTAAAGGATCTGGATGTCTGCCGGGTCAGCCGTACGTGGTGGAGGTGACAGAAAAGGGCAGTTTAGTGACCTAAAATTTTCGGCTAGCTCAACCCATAAGCTAACTGCCTAAAACCTGTGTTGATCTGAGCATGCCTTACTCAAGGTCCATATGGTGCTATTGACAGACAATTTCAGTGGTGGTGGGGGTCTGACAGACATCCATAACTGAGATCAACAAGTTAGCTAACCGCAGGACAGTTATTACAAAATGTGGAGTGTGACCCGCTTTATTCATATTTACCAGTTCACAGCGGACAGACATTTTCGGTGGTGGGTTACCCCCATCAGACTTTCCAACGCCCAAAGTGAGCTAGATTAACAATTTCGCTAACTGGATGAAAGTGGTGGGGTACCTCAGACAGACACCTCTGTACACTTTACCTAAACTAACAAGATTAAACGCACGCTGTCTGTTAGAACTTATCATGCATCAAAAGAAATCATTCTCCCTCGCAATTCTTCCCTTGCTACATGAGATACAGAGACAATGTGCTCATAATATTCGACGGTAGTGAAGACGAAGCAAGCCAATGAACCAGTTACCACCCTATTCAAATTTTGCGCTACCAAGTTACTTTCCTCGATCTCTTCATCTACAAAGGTGAACAGTTTATAACAGAAGGGAAATTGGGCAATCGGGTAGCTACCAAAAAACAGATACATTTCAGTAGCCTGCGCGAGATTCAGCCCACCCAAAGTCAGTATTTGGCAGATTAATCAAGGGAGAAGTAGCGAGTTATAACCGTATATGCATACACTCTATAGATTTTGAGGAAAAGGTTGAATTCTTCAAGCAAACTTATAAAATGCAGATTCTCCCACCAAGACTCAACCCTCCTTCCTCAGCAAGGCGAAACTCACATGAACTTGAGCAGGCGTACTAAGACGAAAAAAGCGACTCACCTTGTCTTTGTCCTGCCTTACCACCCACAAGTGCGGCAGCCAGATTTAAAACAAGCCATTCTTAAAAACTGGGATTTGATCGACCGAAATGAATATCTCAGTGCGCTCTTCCTAACCAAACTCATTGCAAATAAAAGACGTAGGAATATAAAGGATGACCTACGTGTAATATGGTTGAGGATTTATCGATCTGCACTATCCAACCAAGAAGAAAAAGAACTGAATGTGGAGAACATTCAAATTTTAATGGAACTCCTCAAGGAACAAAATCAAGAAGTTTCGGTTACCGGTAGGCATGGAATTCAACCTCCAAAAAACCAAAACTGAAATCCGCCTTCTCCGATCATTCGTGGCTTTAAGAACATTGATACTGACAAGGATTATTTGCCATCGGTTGCAATAAATAAGTATAAAAGAACCAAAAATGGTGACTGATGAAATGCGGAAAAATGGCACAGAAAATATGCTCTATTTCCCCAACACAAAAGAGCAAAAACAGGTGGGGCGGCGTATTATCACCGGTATACTTTAAATCATCATGTGAATTAGAAACAAAAACCACAAATACACACAAACGAGCCCTTGCGTTGTTAAGCTCTGGATATGGAGTTTTAAAACTCCCGCTTTCTTGGAAACACCCTAGCCTAAGGGGCCCGTGGGCAAGTTATGTGTTGACAAGCGTTACCCACCTTCGTGACCTTGCATGAGACTAGCGATGACTTCCTGGTGAAGTATTGTACCCTGAAAATTAAGCAGATTTCACACAAACTTTCTAGGAAGCTCTATAGAAACGCTGGTATCAGTGTATTAAATCAACCTATTTGTATTTATCAACCTAAAAATCTCTCCATGCTGGTCGCAAAAAAAGTACTCAAATACGTCAGGAAACAGACCACTCGTCCATGAAGCTGTATAAAATCAAACAGTAAGAAAAGATTGGGAAGTGGCCCTGTTAATGCTGATAACTAATCTCATCCACTCCCTGCTAAAAAATCTAATTCACGACAGCAATCTTCTTGAAATAATCCTGAAATACCCCCTGTTAGCAAAAGGATAAAATTGACCGATTATTCCTTGAACCTTGCTTGCACTGACTGGTTTCCCTTATTTTCTCAGCCATAGAAATACTTCTCTTAACCTTGGAAATTAGTTCGGTAAAGAACAAAATTCACGGTTGCTGCCGAACTCCACTTCACCAAAGTTAAGACGTAGAGGCGACATGTGTGATTACCCCCTTCCGTAGACACAGGTTTATTTCAATTGGCCACATTGTTGATCTAGCAGTGATTGTCATGGAGGTGTAAGGGGTGTCCGTCAGACTTATCCCACCACAGAAAATGTCTTTCAATTGTAATTACAGACATAAGTGGTTATATTGGACAATATGTGGTAGGTTTCAACATGTGAGCAGTTGCAGTTGTTGTTGAGCAGCTGATCTAGCTCACTTGGGGGAATAGGAGTGTCTGTTAGGAATAACCCACCACCACACTGTCTGTCTGCTGTGAATATGAATAAAGTGGGTCATTCTCCACATTTTACAATATCTTTCTGTAACTTTCTGTCTGTCAATAGCACCACAGTGACCCCGAGTTAGGCATGCTTGGATTGACATAGGTTTTAGGCAGTAAGCTCATGGGTTGAGCTACTGTAGCTGAAATTCTTTGGTCACTAAACTGCTCTTTTCTGTCACCTCCACCGTGGCTGACCTGGTAGATGTCCGGATCCTTTAATAATGGTATTATTGGCATATCATCATGTACATGTACCTAGCAATTGGTTAGCTTTTCAGCTAGGCTGACACCCCCGGCTCCTGCTCTGCTCTAAATCTGATTTCAAAAACTGTGCTCTATAACAAACTGGCGAGACTGGAAGAATCCCTAGAAACTATTCACAAGTTTATATTTCTCTTCGATTATAATTCTAAACATCGTTAGTTACCGTAGCTCTTCAGAATGTTTTCATTGAAAATATTATACAGGTAACTCGTAGTTTTAAATTAGAATTTCATTGATTTAAGCAATCTCCCTTCGTGCATTCATGGATGTGTACAATTCTTTTGGGTAGTTTTGGTAATTTGGCATATCTGTATTACAAGACATTTGAAGGGAATGCTGGCAGGCACTCTGCAGATCTAGGTATGTGGCATTTGACACTGAGAGTTACAGGGAATGAGGGAGATAACATTCATGAGTAGTTGTTAGCCTCAAGGCACAGTTTGCTATTAAAAGGAAACGGTCTGAACGTGAATTTCTGTGAAATTGACGGGCACGCGCGTGCTAAAGGGGGGGAGCATACTGCAAAAGTGCAGTGCTCTTTGGCTGTCTGTTGTGTGGAACTAACAGGAATTGATTTGTCTGGTCAGGTTTGCTGAAATTTCAGCACTCGCATGAAATGCGTTATGTTACTTAATGAGAACACCTTAGGTATGTCTTCAGTGGATTTTTTTATTTGCTTTTTGAGTACGGATGTATATATACCTGAAAGTACTTCCTTAACCCTAACACTCCTCAGTCCTCCAACAGGTGAAGGATAGAGGAGGGTTAGGGTTTATGTACTTTTTGAGTAATGAAATGTGCTGTGCTGTAGTGGTATATTCTTGCTGCATTAATTCACTGTCCCTTTCTTTGTTCCGCACTTTGGTGTCAGTGACTTTTTTGTAAAAGTTTTGTGGGTTGTTTTTGTTTTCTTTGTTCACTTTGGTTGTATTTGCTCTGCATTGAGTAGAATACTTTGGTATTATTCATGCTTACCATGCCTGCAAACATCTGTCTACCAGAATTGAAACTTACACGTAGCTTAGTGTCTAGTGTGACTTGCAGATGAGGTGATTAGACTTTTATTGTATTATGGTAAATATAGAAAAAAAAATTTGAATAGTGCATCTACACTAAGTGTTGAGAATTAGAAGCAAGTACTACGGTGGCGCCACGCTGGTACGCAGGTGGTACACATGCTTTAACTTATCTCATTGACCGATAGGATGACATACTTTTGCATGTACTCATACATGTACATGAATCTGGTGCCCATAGCATCCCTCCATCTATTCCACGGTCATGTATTGTAATCAATGCAATTGAAGGGAGAGAGGAAAAGGAGGGGTGAGTTGCCTTACTCAAGGACAAAACGTGTCAATGATATTAAGGAGGAAAGTTTATTTTATAGAAGGTTTTGTCCTACTTTGAATTGAAGGCTTGAATCCCAGCCCAGCAAGCTTGTAATTTGTTTTTGCAACTCTCAGACCATTATGGGAATATAGTTTGAATATATTGGTCAGTGCAGGACAAAACCCGGTGTTATAATGAGACATAACACTCACGCCGTGCATTGAGTTATAATTTATCTGATTTATTTGCAGTGAATTAATATTTGTTTATGTGTGAATTGATAGAGCTGCTGTGCTGAGCACTATTGATCAGCCATTGAACCAAGTACAGTCTGGTAATTGGCGGTTATGTAAAGAATTGTTGTAAGTCACCTTATTTTGAAGTCAGATGTACCGTGGGGAGCATTTGGCTGTTGTTCAATACCACAAGTTTTTCCCCTTATCATTTTTTCATCCTCAACAAATCGCATTGTAAACTGGGTTGTTTCTGGAATATTGCGGCTGTACTTGCATTGAAATTTTGATGACTTTTTTTTTTTGAGGATTGAGGGCACAATCTGATCCAGACTTGCTCAAGGTCTGAGCTGTGCTCTATAACAAACTGGCAAGACTGGAACAACCCTGTGAAGTTACAGGCATATTGCAGAGGTTACATGATACCCTGATTCACTGTAAGATCATTTTTTAAGGATGGAGACAGGACCACAGCTGGCTGTGATTTATCAAACTATTTAAAAAATTGTGAGAACATTTTGTTTTTATCAGGTGCTTACTAAATCTGATTTCATAAACTGTGCTCTATAACAAACTGGCGAGACTGGAAAAATCCCTAGAAACTATTCACAAGTTTATATTTCTCTTCGATTATAATTCTCAACAACGTTAGTCAGCTGTTCAGAATGTTTTAATTGAAAATATTATACAGGTAACTCATAGTCTTAAATTAAAAATTTCATTGATTTAAGCAATCTCCCTTCGTGCATTAATATATGTGTACAATTTTATGGGTAATTT